TTGCTTGCCAGGAGACGGCAACGGCCAGGAACGTAACAAACACCCATAACGGCCACAGAACAAAATGAACAAAGAAGCCCACAACCATCGGCTCCTCGTACTAACCCTTGATGATAATTCTCTACAAGCGATCTGCGCACAAGGGTTCTCCCACAGGGTTACCTTGGCCAGAAAATCGCCATGAGGGTTGGATTCAGGGGGACTACGGAGAGACCGCTTCGGCCAGGGACTCATGCAACTCCTTCACCCCTCACACTCTTCGGCCTGAAGCAGTGGGGGACTGGGGGACTACATCGGCCTCAACGAAACAAAAAGCAACAATGCAAAGAACATGAATGTAACCACAAAGCATGGCCACATCGTCCACGCATCACAATGGCGCCTCGTCGGCCAGAGGCACATGACATCATCAACAACGGCCAAAAGGAGTGCACGAGCACCCTCATCGGCCACCCAAAGGAAAGGACGCCATCGTCCTCGAAGCAAGGATCAACTTCAGTGGCCTCATCGGCCCAAACACAAACTTCAACCATCAACGCCCAAGCAAAACGTGCCTTTCAACGGCCACCATTGAAACAAGACACTCATCATCCTCAAAAGAACACATTAAGGAAACAACGGCCTCCCCGCCCACAGCGAGGGACAGGTAACGGCCAAAGCACAGAACAGGATCACCAAAGAGGAAACAACGCCAGCGCCGCAACGGCTGAACGCCCGGGGATGCCCGCATCGGCCAAAAGCACTAAAGCACAGGAATCTACTCTCCTTCACTTCGTCTACGTCTCAGCTTAGAGAGTGGGGGACTCCTGATGGAGTATATGGGTCTGAGCCCCCGGACCCACATACTCGGAAGAACAGAAAGCACAAGACAACAGAGTGGCGCCCTCATCGGCCAAGACGCCCCCGTCGGCCGAAAAGGGGCCAACTCAGATTATGGTCCTGAGCCCGAAGAACCCGGGTGCCCTCGTCGGTCGTGCCCTCGTCGGCCGTGCCCTCGTCGGCCACGCCCTCGTCGGCCACGAAGACCTCCCAGAATCGGATTTTATACTTATTCATTTGTACAGCCCATTAGTGGCTTTGTATTCGGCCCAGTAGCGGTCCAGTTGTAAATGGGCCTCCCAAGCCTAAGACTTGGGAGCCCAACCCTAATTTTCTCTATAAATACTCCCCTTGGGAGTAGTTATAGGGGTTACAAAATCATTCTATTGAAGCATATATTGCACTTCTCTCTCTAGCTCTCACTTCTCTCTAGAGATATACTCTATCATCTGTCAAAATACATTTTTAATGATAAAGTGAAAAAGTAGTAAAGGATCATAAAATAAATGTTGTATTTGGGAGAACAAATTGAAGTCTTTCGAGCTACATAAAAGTTGTTGGATTGGAGGACAATATTCTTTTTTCTATATAATTTATAACTTTAGGGGTGTATTGTATTAGGAATTAGTGGCAAAATTTTAAAATTTCAAAATTTTAAATGTATTCAATGTGGACTTTTAAAAGTCTACAAAACTGCAGGTGTATTCAATGTAGACTTTTAAAAGTCTAGGCGTATTCAAATTTCCGTTAATTCTTATTGACTTCTAAAGTCAGTGATTCTCGTGGAATTTTACTCATCTTTAGTACATTAATTCTCAGCAATTGTCTCTTCTCCTCACCAAAGATTTCTGTGGACTGTTTTAGTTGTCTTCTACGAGTCACAAAACCGCATAGATCTCATTGCAGATTTGGCTAATTATTTACCCATGATCACCAATCGGTGAACAAGTCCTAGATTAGTACCGGCCGGGACGGGAGGTGCGTACCAAGATGGTCACAGTATGTACAATTTGAATATTAAATTTTAATTTTTTCTATCATTTTACGATATATGAAGCTGAACAAGGAGATTCTATATTTACACTGATACATAAGATGAACTTTTTTTTATATTTTTAAAAAGTGATATATTATATCTCGTCTTACGAAGAAAATTGCAGAGGTGAGATCGGTTCAGTTCTTGAACCGTTAATCTCATATCGATTCGATTTTAGAAGTTCTTAGAAGAACCGATATAAGAATCGATAGTATTACATCGGTGCAATTCTGGTACGTTGTCAGTTAATCATTAAGAAAACAATTTAATTATTAATGTGTTATCGTTAAACTGCTAATACATAAAAATATAATTTTAAATTACTAAATGTTTAACCGTAAATAAGTATACAAAACTTAACAAGCTAAAAATGAAAAGAAAACAATTATTTAGAAGAAAAGTTCAATTGCACCTATGCTTGTGTCACATGTAGCAATGAATGTAACACTTGTGTAATTATCAATGTTCTTACTCATTGAGTTGTGTAATATAACAATTGATCATAAATTGATCGAGATTGTTGAATATACATTCTCAAAACTCTGAGTTTCTTTTTAATAAAAATAAATTTGGATTCTTATGCTTCATAAACTTTGTGTTGCTGGATGGATTACATTTGTTTCATTTAATTATTTAATTATTTTTTATCATATTACACATAGAAGATTACTCACAGTGGGACTAAAACATAGCATGTTTTCCAAAGTGTGATTATTCGTTTGTTTTTCCTTAAAACAGGAGTAAATATTACACTTCTACCCCTAATTTAATTAATTAGTATAATTAATTGCCCATATTTCCCTTGCATAATCAAAGTCATTTTGTTGGTGGTGGATCAATCTGATGACGACGATGAACTCCAGTGACGTAGGTGGACAGACAAATTGGTAGCGGTGATCTAGGTGAAAATTTCGACGACCGACGGTGGCAGTCCGGATTTAAAAGTCTATAAACTTATCCGTGGGGCAATAGAATTCATTCATAAAAAAGTCTATGGATTTAAAAGTCCATAGACTTTTTTCAAAAGTCTATGGATTAAAAAAGTCCTCTAGAATCCATATTTAATACACGTCCCTTAGTTTTTTCTGAGGAAAATCGGCTTATAATAAAATACCAGGGAAACCACAAATATCATGCACCCCGGAGAAAACAGACAAGTTACAAAGACCAAAAACCATAGCTCGACCACACGGTCTTGGACCAAATTTAGAATGAGTCACCTCAAAAGAAGACATCTGATTCGTTAATCCCAACTTGGGCAATTGTAAGCCAATTATGATCGGTCTAGATTTCCTGTCACTTATCCTCTTCTGACTCTGACTCAAAACAACAACTAAAACGCAAAAATAAGTCACCATGGGCAAAACATACACAACAAAAAAATCATCTCCTGTCTTTACCGAAACAGTAAACTAAAATAATAACAAAAAAGTTATAAAAAGAGCAGATGCTAGGCGAGTTTAGAAACCTAGATCTGCCTCCTCAATGTTTTTTGCTCCATCAATCACTACTGCACCTGTTTCCTGCTCGCCTTGCTCATGTAACTCCAACACGCTTCTCCTTTTAGGCTCCCCAGCTTGATGATCAGCTATAACCGCCTTTGAGTTCTTAGTATCTTCTCCTTACATCAGGACCATTGCTAAATCTTCTTCGTGAGAACTCCCCATCGATCAAATCGTTCATAGGCCTCTCACTTCTACCTGATCCCTTCCCACCCTGTATGCCTGACTGAACCAACCATTTATTTTCTCCCGCTCCCATACCTCTGACACATGCATCTCACAGCCATGGATTGTAAGGTTTTATCAAGCCCCGAGCTCTCTTACTATACTCCAATGGACAAAAACGATCTGCATGCCCAATAAAACCACACACAACACAAAAACTTGGAAGTTTCTCATATTTTAGTTATAAAATATATATCAAATACTACCTTAGCTTTGTCCCTTTTTATTTTGCCAACTTTGACATTCTTGGTCAAAGATGATAAACTTTGGTCCATTATTTTAACTAATATATTTATGTGAAAATTAATAAATTTATACTTTTATGATAGTATTTTTAACAAAGAACATTTTCACATCATTTTCATATTATTAATATTACCGTGTATAAAAATATAATCGGTGAAAACTTAACGTCATTGACTTGAAAATTGTGTTTGGCTAAATAAATAGGGACGGAGGGAATATAATTTTTCAGTCAAAAAATTATACGTACTCTGTATATAATTTTTTGACAATATTTTCAACATATTTTTTCATAATGTATCCGATGATTCCGATTAATTATATCAATTCAACCGCAATTATAATGATCAAATCCGCAATTTAAGACTCATGGGGTTCGAAATGGTTTGAATAGGGAATTCGAAGTATGCCTATATGTTAAAATAAAAGATGTAATGTAATTGAAAAGATAGAAGTTAAAATTGGGTAAGAATTGAAGGACGACAATGAATAGATGCCAATTGCGTACGGATATCTAGTCTTCTTTCATTCATGTGAGATGTGGCCATGTGGGTGAATAACGGACCCTTATCACTGATCCTTTGAATACCGGTGGACGTAGCTCAACGGTAAGCGAGGTACCACAAGGGTTAGATCCCGGGTTGGAATCCCGACAACTGCGATGAGAGATTACTATGCTAAAAAATACATACACTGCAAGTATCGGGGACAGAACCTCACTCTCTATCTGTCATATTGGGATTATAGTCCAACTTACTTCCTCTCAAAGTACCGTTCGATCGGGGTTGGGGGCCCTCATGGATGGATGACATCTTTTTTTTTTGAATACATATCAGTTTTTCTTTTACCAATGACAAGTCTCTCACGTTAAGAGGGCTAGATTATACTACCACCGTCCCGAAATGAAGTTCTTGTTCACTATTCATTGGTCAACTAAAATCGTTCCTAATCTTTTACTTTATATATCAAATTTTATCAAATTTAAATTTTCTTGATCAGACTTTGTAGCTATTTTAATGTATATTTTGAATATGTAAATTTTATTTACTAAAAATAATTTCAGTGTGAAGATTTATCAAGGTCTCGGATTTGGGGAGTATGTCACTATATTTATGCATGTTGAGCATGTAAATTAATTACGCCGTAATTAATAGACGAGTCTGATAAAGGGATTTGTATTTCACACAATGATCCGTATACATGCTGGTGTATTTATATACACTTGGATTACAAATGATAAATATGATCTAACTACTTCCGTATGATTCTAGCTAAGGATGGGAAAACTACCTCCCTATATGTAGGAGTGATAATCATTGTACAAAGTAGTACTAGTAGGTATGCACGTACATACACTAAATGTAACATATAAAATGTACATAATTAATTAGGTAGTAATACGCCCCCGCAAGATAGGACTTCCATCGGAAACACCCATCTTGGATCGAAATTGTTCAAACAGAGTGCGCGCCCGAGAGGTTTAGTGAGAATGTCCGCAATTTGCAGTTTTGTGGAGATATGATTGACTTTGAGCTGGCCTTGTTCCACCAAATCTCGTACAAAATAGAAACCCAAAGCAAGATGTTTCATGCGAGAATGAAACACCGGATTCACACACACATAAGAGCCCCTTGATTATCACAGTATAATGTAGGAGTAGACGGAATTTTTACATGAAGTTCTCGGAGGAGATTAGTGACCCATAATAATTCAGCACTAGCGTTGGCAACTGCTCTATATTCTGCTTCGGTGGAGGATCGAGAGACACATTTTTGCTTGGCCGATTTCCATGAGATTATATTGGGTCCAAGATAAAGGGCATATCCTGTAGTTGACTTGCCTTGATCATGTATATTACCCCAGTCCGAGTCAGAAAACACAGTGAGATGCAGGGGCTTGCTTCGGTGAAGAAAGAGACCATAATTAATCGTGTGCTTCAGATATCGCAAAATGCGTTTGACTGCTTGCCAGTGACGGTCAGTGGGCTGGTGCATGAACTGAGACAGTCGATTGACGGAGAAAGAAATATCCGGTCGGGTGAAGGAAAGATATTGAAGCAACCCAAGGGCTCTTCTGTACTGCTGCGGATCCTGCATGGATACCCCATCTGTCAGGGTAATTGGTTGAGACGAACTCATTGGTGTAGGAGAATCCTTGGCACCAAGCATAGCACATGTTTCGAGAGTGTTAAGAATATACTGCCGCTGAGATAGAAACATGTCATTTTTAGTGGGTATCACTTCAATGCCAAGAAAATGATGAAGAGAGCCCATGTCCTTGACTGAAAACCGGGAGGTTAATTGCATGACAAACTTATTTACCGCAACAGAGGAATTCCCCGTGAGAACAATATCATCCACGTACACAAGAAAATATATAATAATCTGATCATGATAGTAAATAAATAGGGAGTTGTCTGCATGAGATTTGCAGAAACCAACCGAGATGAGAAAACGGGACAACTCCATATACCAAGCCCGGGGAGCTTGTTTTAAACCATATAGCGCCTTGCGGAGTCTGCAAATATGAGTAGGGTGACTGGAATCAACATAACCAGTGGGCTGTAGCATGTAGACCTCTTCATGGAGGGTACTATGAAGGAAGGCGTTGTTGACGTCCAGTTGTCGGAGCTCCCAGTTACAAGATAGTGCAATAGTGAGTATAATGCGAACAGTGGCCGGTTTTGTAACCGGGCTAAAAGTTTCACTGTAGTCACGACCGGGTTGCTGAAGATAGCCACGAGCAACTAACCGCGCTTTAAACCTTGCCACACTTCCATCAGGGTGTCATTTAATTCGAAACACCCATTTACACGTAATGGGATGGTGACCCTGCCGGGGAACAAGTTCCCACGTATTGTTACGTAAGAGAGCTTCATATTCAGCGTCCATAGCAGCTTTCCAATGGGGATTGGCCAACGCTTCCTTCACACTGGCGGGTTCTAAGGCTGGTAATATAGGATGTGTGGTGGTGGAATTAATAAAGGGGTCGCCTATATATTTTGGGTTGGGAACTCGATGACGGGGTGGACGATTTTGGTTAGTGGATAGGGTGGGTTGATTTGGGATGGTGTGATGATGTGAGGGGGGTTCGGTCAAATGGTTATGAGATGGCAAAGGTGGGGAAGATAAATTAGTGGGGATGGATAAGGCTTGATGGGACGTAGGGGATAAATTATTGGGGATAGTGGCTTGAGATGGTGGGCTTGGCTTTTGAGTGGGAGATGAAATAGGATGTTGGTTCGGTGTATTTGGGGAAGGCAGTTGGGGATAGGATAAGGTTGGTGACTGGGATTGCACGCATGGAGAGGGTAGAACCACATGTCGAGTAGACGGTGAGGATTTTGACTGGAGACGGTTGGGTATGCATGGAGTGCATGCAGGTGTGGACGTAGACACAGAAGTGTAATCTTTGGGAAGAAACGGGAAAATATTAGGAATAAAACAAACATGACGAGACACATATATACGATTGGTGGATGAATCTAAACAAAAATAGGCAGACTGTGATGTGGAGTACCCCAAAAAAATACATGGCGTGGACCGGGTATCTGTTTTAGTGGCGGCATAAGGTCGTTGATGGATAGTCTACCCGGGGGTATATATACGAAGGGTTATTACGGGGAATAACTTAGAGAGAAGTCAGAGCAAGTAAGTAAAAGCAGAGAGAGAGTGTATTCAGTGTGAATGCCGTTTTCAGCGTGGTTACAAATGGGGAAATGGGGTGCTATTTATAGTAGCAATAAATGTCGGGCAGGGACACGTGTCAAGCGCTCATTGGCCGAGGGGTCACCTCAACTGGTTGGCGCTGGCAGCCGCATGTGGCCGCATTTAATGCGGCTGTTGGATGGGACGTCTGTGCAGGGTACGGTGATCTGTACGCATGTGAGGCGGATATCTTGTCGAGTGAGATGCCTTCGGCCATAGAGCAGTAGCCGAAGGCTCCTCCAACCGAGGGCACCTTGGTGCCGAGGGCTCACAGTACCGAGGGCTACTGTTTTCGCCGTTTTCTCCCAGTTTCTTAGTTTGCTTGAGAAACCCGTTCTGTGAGAGTTTAGACCCTTCGGCCAGGGGGCCGAAGGCACCCCTGGCGTGTAGTGCGGGCTGCTTGGTACTCTGGGCGCTGTGATTTGGGCCTGTGGGGCTTTTTGGGCCTGTTGGGCCTTCGCTGGAGTAGTAGGAGTCTGTGGGTCAGGGGTTCCCGGGCCATATACTCCATCAGGAGTCCCTCACTCCTTTTGCCGAAAGGTACTTGAGGGAAAAGGAGTAATTTGTGCTTGCCCTTTGATGTTGTCCCGTCGTGATCTCTGAAGTTGGTGAGGAGTTGTTGCTTTTATGTCCCTGCCGAAGGCAGTCCCTCAGTTACCCACATGTCGGGACTTGAGGGCTTGCTTTGTTGTTTGTTGGAATTTCTACATCTTTTGTAATTTAATGATTTTCCCGAGGGGGTCCTCCAGTCCCCCACTCCTTGAGGCACTTGTAAAGTGGTGAAAAGGAGTAGAGTAGTTGCGTTGCTGTTGTGGGCCGAAGGCTGACGCTTTTCGTTTCATTTTTGGGGGATGCCTCGTTAAAAACCTCATTAGGAAAAACCCTGGGGGGGAAAATCCTAATGAGGGAAAAAGAGTGCACCGAATTCCCCCAATGATGAATCGAAAATGTGGAACCTTGGTCAAAAATGGAGAACAACGGTAATGCCGAAGGCTCTTCCTTGTTCTGAGGGCTCATGTGTTGATTAGCCGAAGGCTTGCTGTTGATGTCCTGGGTGCGCCGAAGGGGAGCCCCTCATTCTGGGGATCGAGGGCACGCTGGATGAGGGCTGCAGTGGAGTTGTTACCGGGGGGTCCAATGTTTGTTGATTAGTTGGTGATGAAGATACCCGAGGGCTCCCATTACCTGTGTGCCACGGGTCACCCGTCAATGAGGCAACTCCCCGGGGGCTACCCGGTTTTGCAGTGCTGAGGGGGAATCCCCGAGGGGTGCCCTGATATGAAGCCTTGGGTTTCTGAAGGGGTGATCCCGAAGGCATCTGCTATGGGGCTGTGTGGGGCATAACCCGGGGGCGTCTCTGGGTAAGTGTACCCGGAGGCTATCCTTGATGGAGTGGGGTGAAGTAGAAAACCCGGGGGCTTCCAGAATATAGCCGTTGGAAATATAGCCGTTGGAAATATAGCCGTTGGAATATGTAACGTCAGGTTTTTAGCCGTTGGGGGGGGGGGGTACACGTGGCGTGTGATGGCTGGCTGTCCGTGGGCGGCATCACTGGTTGGGCGAAGACGCGGCGTGTGATGATGGCGTCCATCCGGAGGCCCAGTTTTCGAGCCCAAGCCCGGACTCTGGGGTCTATAAATACCCCGGAGCCAGAGCCATTTCTTCCTTACGCGTCCAAAAATCCTTAGCGAAGCTCTGCCAAAAAATCTAGAGAGAGAAACTCAAGCCCTCGGTCATAGCACTTTCAGAGGTTAGTTCTCCCTTCGCTCCTCAACACTTTTTGTAAGTTCCGCCCTCTGGCCTTAGTTTAGGGTTAGGGTTCTGTAGACATCCTTCGAAACCTTAGGCACATTTTGTGGCAAAGAATGTCGTCCGAGAGCGATTCCCAAAATATCTCGAGGGAGCCCTCGGTTGAGGATGAGGTTGCTTCCGATGTTGAGTCAAGCAGCAGTGCGCCCTCGGTTGCCGATGACGAAGCCGTGGCCTTGGAGTTGCAGAAGGCCCTTGCTGCTGAAGTGGAAGCCGAGGGCTTCGAACAGGAGTGCGAAGATGAAGAACTAGCCCTCGCGTATCAGGTGGCAGAGGACGAAGCCCAAAAGGAGGCGATGACGGTCACTGTTGCTGTGCCACCCCCTCGGACTGACTGTGGTGAGCCTAGTACCTCCAGGCCGTTGGACCCGACGCCTCTGAGAATAGCCCCCGGCAAAAAGAAGATGAAGTCGCAGAGGGCTGCCCCCAAGAAGAAGGGTGTTGCCGCCGGTGCTGGGGGGCCTGTTGAAATGCCAGAGGGGTATACCTGGCTAAACACCGAAGCCCTCGATATCAAGTCGAAGGCGGACAGGGCTGACTTGTACGTCACGCAGCTGCACGTTGGGCCTCGGCCGTAGTGGTGGAGCCAGGCGTCGACGATCTGCTGTCCAGGCCACCCGAGGGATGCATTGCCGTCCACATTCTGTCAGTGTCAATGGGCCTCCGGTTCCCCCTGCACCCATTTCTCCGGGAGTACCTCAGGTTTGTTGGACTCATCCCCTGCCAACTTACCCCCAACAGCCATTCATACGTTGCTGGCTTCCTGCACCTGTGCCGGACGAGGGATGTTACCCCAAGCTTGGACCTCTTCTTCCAAAGCTTCAACTTGTGCCGAGGGGGGCACGCGAATGTCGAGGGCTTCGCCAATTTACAGCAGGCAGCAAAGTTCAAGCTGTTTACCGAGGCGCCCTCGTCCAATAAGGGCTGGAAAGACAGATGGTGCTACGTCCGGCTGGCCGAGAATCCCTTCCCGAGGGAGCTACGGGACCGCTTTCGGCGCCACGAGAGGGTGGGGAGTGCTGCCCTAGAGAAGGATGGCTTGAAACTCGCCAAGATTCCGGAGGGCAAGACGAAGGTCGTGACGATCAAAGAATGCACTTTTGAGGAAGACTTGCATGCCCTCGGGTTCCAACGGTACCGGTTCATCGGGGAAATAGATGAGAAGTACCCCGTCTTCACTGAGGCCTTCGGGGGAGCAGGAGGTAGGCTATGAGGGCCCTTAGTCTCCTACTTAGGCACTTTCATTTTGCATCCCGATAGTTGTTTGTGGTATGAACCCTTCAGGTTAATATTCTCTTTGCTTTGTTTTGCAGGTATGGAGGCTCTCTTCGCAATGAAAAAGAAGAAGGAGAGGGCGCAGGCCTAGAAGAAGGAGAAGACGGAGCCCTCGGGTCAAAAGCCCATTGATGAGGTTTTCCCGAAGGAGACCGCAGAGCCTTCAGTTGCTGCTGCTCCTGCTACTGCGGCCGGGGGGCCGAAGGCTGATGTGGCAGCCAAGAAGAAAAAGGGGGGCAAGGGGGTGGAGCCCCCGATCAAGAAGCAGAAGGTTGCCGGGGGCGCCGTTGAGAAGGCGGCCCCCCTCATAGTACTCGATGATCAGCCCTCCACTGACCCCCCGGCAATTGATACTCCGATGGCTCAAACAGACCTTCCCCCGGGGAACCTGCCTCGGGAGATTATTCGGCTCTCCCTCGCTCCGGGGGCATCTGTATTGCACGGTTCAGCCGAACCGATGTCTTTCCTGAGGGGGATTACCTCGATGATGGACAAAGAAGCCCTCTCCACCTATAACGATGACGCCCTAGAAGCCAGGGCCCTTCGATCAGCTCTGACTGTAAGTGTTTTTACTTTGACTTGATCTCAACACTTAGCATAATCCCAATGTCCGTCTGAACCCTCTGTCTGTTATTCAACAGGCTTGTATAACCTTCGGTGAGCAGGCCCGAAGGCGAGAGGAGTGGTGCCGTCATAAGGCCGAGCTAGATAAGTCCGTGAAGGAGCTGATTCACGACAAGGACGCTGCCCTTCGGGAGGTGTGCAAGTTGGAGGACGCCCTTCGGCAAGCGGAGCTGCGGCTGAAGGAGGCCAGAGATGACGGGATAGCCGAGGGCAAGGCTGAGGCCGAGAGGGTTGCGGCCGAGGAGAGAAAACAAGCTGCCGAGGACGCCGAGAAGGCCAAGGCTGAAGCTGCTGCCAAAGCCCGAGAAGAGGCCATTGCTGGGTTCACCTCCGAGGTCTGGAAGGCCGAGGGCCAGAGCGAGTGGGTGGCCTCTGTGGTGAAGGCCTCGATCGAGGAGTGGGTGAGGGGCCCCGGGCTCGACTGGATGAATGAGAGGGGTGACACCTACTATCAAGCTGGCGAGTTCTTCACCCAGCACCTGGTTTACCGGAGGCTCGCCCGACATTTTGGCACCTCCCTGGA